GTAGAAGAGACGCTAACTCACTATTTTTTTGATTGTAAGAGATATACTGTGGCCCGGACTAACATGCTGTTGGAACTGCACTTTTTGGCTACGGTTAAGACTAAGACCTTGTTGTTGGAGAACAAGGAGAGGGAGATGGACATACAGAAAGCGATTTTTAATGCCGTCAATAAATACATTCTCTTGACGTGGCGATTCATGAGTTAAACTCTCGCTGGTATTTTTGATGAAATGAATTGATTAACAGTTATTGCCTTAAGTGAATCCAATCCCCTTTTTAACCCCATTTCCCCACCCTTCTCCTACTAACCCCTTTTCTTTCTTTTTTTAGCATTTTCGATTATGACCGCATGTTTATTCTTGTTATGACTTTCTTCTCGCTTTTAATTTTTTCTTCTTTTGTTATCTCGTGTTCGTTAATCTCTACTGCGTCTACATGGCTTCGGCCGCTGATGCTGATTCTTTTCTTTTTCATTTTAATTTTCAAATAAAAGGTTTAAACTAAGGATATGTGTGCATTGAATCGAGAAAACGAAAGTATGACTCTTTTCATTTGTATACAAATTCCATATCTTGCAGACAGTTTATATCTGCACAAGAGTCAAGTTTCTTGATCTCAAAGAATGTTCAACAATTTTTGTGAAGATCTTGTCAAGTTTTGTTGAGGATCTACCTGCAAAAATCTTGATCAAGATTTGAAAACTTTTCTGTAAGTAACAAAATCTTTGCTAACAAAGAAAATTAGCAATCATTTTGATTACGATAAGACTGAGAGGTTCGACGAAAATGTCAATATGCCAACTTTGCATTTATTTATAGTTATTGTAGCACTACAGTGTACAGGACTTCTGCTAAAATTCTGTTGGTATAAAATGAAAAAACAGAAAATAATGTATAAGATTTTCTTTCAAATTCTTAAGTCTGTTAATCAAGATACTGATTATTGCTTTATTAAATTAATCATTTCAGAATTGTTGAAATATCTTGACAAGATCGACTCAAGATTTATCACGACAGATTCTGATACAAAACTTGGGGAAAATCTGCATCATTGCTCTCTATTCAGAATCTTGACAGATTTTGATACATTGCACAAGTTCTTGAAAGATCTAGGGCGAAACTTGAGAAATCTCTAAAGATTTATCAAGATCTGCGTTCATGATTTTTCTCCTGGGTAATAGAAACAAAAAGTAACAAACGTGATTAGTCAGCTAAAAGTCCCGTTTCATAGCATACCTTGTCTGTTTAGGCTATCAAACGTTTCTTGCTTATTACTTCACATTTTGTGCAACATTTTCATATGTTTTGCTCGCATTTATTAACCATTACGGCTAAATTAACAAACAACGTAACGAAATCTTCTAACAAACCTCTTCTAATGTGTACATAGACCTGTGCGCCATGCTGCTGCCATCGGCGCCGCAGATGGATAATTACGGTTTCTGAAGCCGCCGCCGAATGTGTCGAAACTTCTTGGGAGCTTCCCGCCGGCGGTGATGCTGCAAATACAAATGGGTTTTATCCTTTCCTGACAGAAAAAGTTTTGAAAAAAAAATGTCATGAGAAATTAGAAAAACAGGAAGTTATATTGTAATCAGCCTCCCCACTAACAACGGAAAAATTTCAAAAACATCTTTCAGGCGTCGTCGCCGCCGAAGGCGGAAAATCTTTTAAGAGGGCTACGCCGCCGATCGGAAAAATTTGGTTTAACACCGCAGCTGTTTCTCTGATCAGCACACAGTCCAAGTAAAATACGACGATATCTGTCAAGATTCTGAGATCATCTTGCAGTTCAAGATTGTCGACAAGTTTTTTTTACAGAATGTGCCTTGAAAAAACTTGATCAAGATATGTAACTGATTATAATAGAGCAATTAATTCGTTATTAATTAATTAGCGAAACCCTGACAGATTTTCGATATCTGTATAAATCCTGAATAGTTTTTGGGTTGGTTAGGTATTATTTTCATTTATTTCTAACTCCTGTATAGGGCACTCTGCAGTACTGTACTGTACCAACAGCAGAACCTTTAAAGAACTTGTGCAGATTTTGACTTTCTAAAAGACACGGACAGGTCCATGTATATATATCAGCTTTCTTCTTTCTCAAAAACAGAAGAGAAAGAAAGAAAACAGAACAATATTCATCTATATCAGCGTTTCCCAAATGGGGTTCCGTGAAGTGAAACCAAGGGTTCCGCCAGAAAAAAACAAGATAAAAATTAATTTCACCACGTAAAAAAAATTTACGTAATCTTAAATAATTTTTGTCAAATATTATGTCAAAATACTACTGGGGTTTCGCAAAGTTTTAAATTTTATGAAAGGGTTCCATGGCTAAAATAAATTGGGAAACGCTGATCTATATCTATCTACGCGTGTCCGCGTCCTCGTCCTATGAGCCCAAATATTTTCAACAAGTATTAAATACCCGTTTTTCTCTCCTCTTCTTTGTTTTATACATACATATGCATTAATCACGATTAGAGCGGCAACAATACTTGGTCATACATCCGACTATCATCGCTCGAAGAGAAAGCTGCAAAATCATGGCAGAGGAAAAAAGTCCATTTAAAACTGATCTCAATAAAAAGTAAAAATTGCACTTTCGATGAAGCCAAGCAAAGATATTGTTGGCCTTGTATATCAAAGGCCAGACGGTACCTATTTTTTGAATAATAGTTCGCATGATGGTGCACCTTTTCTCTCTCAGATGAGACAAAAAATAGAAATGGATACTCTTATTTAGAAAAACAGATAAAATTCCTTCTATTAGAGCACTAGCAAATAAGGAGATATCTCTTTTCACATACGATATCTCGTGTGCCAACATTTTTTTGTCTCAGCGCGTCGATTGAAACGAAAGAGAACAGAAAGATATGCATGTGCGAAAAGAGATATCTCCTTATTTGCTAGTGCTCTACTTTATGTTGTCCTTTAGACAAAAAATGTAATTCAGCTTAATAGAGCCGTATCAAATAAGGAATATCTATCTTTTCACTTCTTGGCAAATGTGAGCAAATGTCTATATAGATATTTGCTCACATTTGCGAAGAAGTGAAAAGATAGAGATATTCCTTATTTGATACAGCTCTATTATAAGTTAGATTGTGCAACTGATAACAGAAAACGAAAAGATGTTCGTTATATCTACGCATCGACAGAAATGAACAGATGTCTCTGTGCGTGAAATATAGTCCACGTTCCACGAGTTCAGTTATTTTTGATGGCTTTCCTTAATATCCAATCTTTATTTCAACATGGGTTAGTTCTAGTAGTTCACGGCGTGTATCAGTGAATATCGTGAAATGAAATGTGGCGATCGTGTAAGGGTGTGTGATTAATTGTAACAAAATGGCACTCCTGAGCACGAGGTCGCGAAAGAAAATCGCAAAATGGTGTTTTGACACGTGTAAAAACAAATTTCCACTAGGAAACACGCTTGAAATTATGCAAAGTACATGAAATCTAACGTTGCAAGTGCATGCCCGCGACACCTCGAAATTTCGCTAACATTTCCTCGTGGGTAGGATAAAACGAAGAAAAGCAAGAGAGTAATATTAATTTGAAACATTCGGCATTTCGAAATTTTGCCAGATTTCCATTATATGGAATAAAACATGGATGTAATCTCCGAGCAAACCCTCCTCTCAACTGATTATGTAACACGTGGATGTTCCTTTGATAGACACAAGTTTATTTCGAAAAGAAACATCGTTTTTGTATTTATACACTTGTTTGTTTCAGAGAAAGTATGCATGAATGATGTCCAGTGAGACAGAACGCTCTGTATGAGTAAACAGGCGGTATTGTGCGAATAAATAGCATAGGAGGTGGCATATAAGTAGGCAAACAAAACCTCAATTACGTGTGGGAGAAGCCGTTACACTCGAGTTATTATAATTTTTGAACACAGTGGAAGATATATTCGACTAAGACGAACATAATTTCGCTCTACTCATGGCAACAATGACAACAACTCAAAATCCATACAGTGAATCCAATGGTTATTATGATGAGAGTGTATTAGCCGAACTAATTACCACAAACGGTTCTGATTCCTATGGTACTATTAGTAAGGATGAACAAACGGCGAATGATGATGTGTCGCATATCGCGGTCGGCGAAAACAGCAAAGATCACAATCCACAAGATGAAGACCAAGACGATTTAAAGTCAGGTATGTGTTAGTTCTGGAAGAGAAGTGTTCATGATGTAAGGGTTAATGATTCGTGGAAGAGAGTGTGGTGGTTCACTTACCTAAGTCAGAAAAGTGACTGAAGTATTTTGTGTAAGCGCGGATTGTTATTTTTGGAACAGTGCTGAAGAAGGCACAGAGTGCATCATAATTTGAAGTGGAGAATATTTTATGAAATTAGCGGAAACATTTTTGCATTTTGCGCGTTTGCTATGTCGTCTCATGTAATGTGAGTGTCTTCTGTATCATTTAGATTACTTGAAACGAGTGCGACATTCAACAGCTTTAAAGTCTCCAGGAGTCTTAATGAAGGAACTGCCATGTTCATTATCGATAGAACAGTTCATCTTAGGCAAACGCCAGGAAATATCGAATATCATCCACGGCCGAAATGATGATCGTCTTTTAGTCATCATTGGCCCATGCTCAATTCACAATGTTGACGAAGCACTGGTATATGCTGCTCGACTGAGTGAACAAGCAAAACTGTATGAATCCACACTGCTGATTGTTATGCGTGTTTATTTTGAGAAACCTCGTACAACTTATGGATGGAAGGGTCTTATCAATGATCCACTGTTAGATGGTACAAATGATATCAATCTCGGTTTGAAAATGGCTCGACAGTTGTTGTTGGACATCAACCGTCTCCAGTTGCCGTGCTCATGCGAATTTCTACATCCTATACTCTCTCACTACATTGCCGATTTGATATGTTGGGCAGCCATAGGTGCGAGAACAACGGAATCACAACTACACCGTGAACTGGTCAGCGGTTTACCCATGGCGGTTGGTTTTAAAAACGGTACAACAGGCAATATGCAAATCGCCGTGGATGCTTGTGTGGCAAGTAAAACTGGTCACACATATTTGTCACCTAACCCTTATGGTAAAATTATATGTAATGGCACAACGGGTAACGAGGATGTTCATGTTGTGCTGAGAGGTGGCTCAGCGACGGGACCAAATTACAGTCAAAAACATGTTTCAGATGCCAAACATTTGTTGGAGCGACACAACATAGACACACAGCTCATGATTGATTGTTCGCATGGGAATTCGTTGAAACTTTATGAAAATCAAGTGCCTGTTATCCAAGATGTATGCCAACAAATAGCGTCGTCGACGGAGCGAACAATCATGGGTGTTATGATTGAATCGAACTTAGAATGTGGTAATCAGTTGTTGATAGAAGGTGAGAAAGATCGACTCACATATGGACAATCGGTAACTGATTCATGCATCGGATGGCCACAAACTCTGACTGTCCTGCAACTCTTATCCGATACTGTTCAAAACAGACGAATAACGGAACTTAAATTAACGAAAGATCAATAAAGTCTACCTTTTTTGTTAAATATTTTGGTTACTTTGAGGTTATTACTTTAAACAGATTATTCATATTCTATTACAAAGCTGCTTGCCCAGGACAACAGATGTATCTCTAAAAGTAATTTCAGCTCCCCCTCTGTACTTCCGAGAAATGACGCGTTGGGCGTAAGTGTCAATTTTTATAAAACCACGTGGTGTGACAGCTAAAAGTCTTCTCTTTCGACTGCTTCTTGTCATTTGGAACAAGTTTCAAGAATTTTTCCGCAAGCTTTGTGAAAATCCCAAGAGACTCAAAGAAAAAAGTAGTCTTTCTAGTACAACGAGGTTCGAATAGATTCATGCATGTTTACCAACGTCCGCGTGGAATTCCCCACGGTGGAAAATCTCTGAGGATATACAAAGAGTATTGTTGTATTAACCCTTTACACCCGCCGGTCCCTTTCGAGGGACGTTGATATAATAGATTTATAAAAAGAACGGATCATCAGCCAAAAAGCTAGATTATTACTAATGTAAGACAATAGAGTAGCCTAACGTTTGATTGAAAGAAGAAAGAAAAATTTCCATCTTAATCCGATACTTCTGAATTTTAAAATTGAATGAAGTTGAGAAATGAATTTTTGTTTTTAAATATTTTCTATACTTGTAGCCACTAAAGCATTTTCTAATTAGTTTTGGTTGTATGGATGTACTTTATAATGAAATCAAAGAAGAAATTTTTGTAGCATTCTTCTTTGTGTAAAGGCGCTATGAATTCACTGTTCCTTGGAAGGGACATTCGGGTGTAACGACATGAAAAGTGAATTTTTTTATCTTGGCATCTTCGTTAAAGTTCGAAATAACAATGAAAAAAATACAAAATTCATACCGTTACACCCGTATGTCCCTTCCTAGGGACATCATATATCCACGCAGCAAAGCAACATCACTTAAGTCCAGATATAACAAGGATGTACCGAAGAACTGTAAGCTTCAATGCAGTAGTTATTTCAGCTGCAGCTATAATAAAAGTGTCTTCGGGTGTAAAGGGTTAATAATTTTTGAGACTAATTCACTTTTTGGAAGGTAAAGCATATTGCGTTTTTTCAAAATCATCTTTTCTTCGAGCACTTTCTATTTGCAGAAATTTTCTGTAATCTTACAGATTTCACATTAGAGTTAACATACGTCTGTATAGGCTAAATAAAATCTGATTTTGGCATTACGATTTAGACTTTGTTACAGAGAAGCACCTATGTGAGAATCAAACATATGTATATTACAGGAACTTTTAGCTCTTTTTATTTGTACCGTGTTTTATTACGAACACAGTACAAAATAGCCCGTCAACAACGAGTGTTAGTCTCTCATAATTTTTGAGCGAAATTCCTAAACGCTGACAGATGCAATCATAAAAACCTCATCAAAATAGCACTTTTAGAGGGACATGATTTTTTAAAAGCTTGGTTAATGTCGCATGTAAACTGGTGAGACAATAGTTTTTCACTGGTAGTTTTTTGATAATGCGGAGGGGCATTCCCTCCTGCTCTTCGATTTTTTATGTTCTCTGAATCACAAAAGTTTTCCCGAACTATGTTTTGATATACATCGGCGAATACAAACTACAAGTAGAGTTTGACAATTCAGAATGGGAGAAATCACATTCTCTCATTAATTCCCGCAAATATTTGATATCGTTACTCGTTGTGCGTGTAGTGGTGTATTATGTGTTCTGCTTCTCTTCTGACAAGTATTAATGTAAACGATAGAAAAAAATACCCTTCCAAAATTTTCCGCAACTCTCCGCCTCTCTGTGTCTTTTTTAATGTTCGCCGCTAGTTTTACTCGTCGAACTTGAAAGATGTATAATATATGTTTGAGTGACACTAATCGGTTTTAATCTTTCGCTCATTGCATATCTAAGCCTATTAGTGAATGCGTGGATTGGACAACTGGCGACGAAGGCAGTACTAGTAGTTTGCGTCGATTTATCCTTCGATGTTTTCTCCAATTCTGTACAATTGTAAGTTAACGTAGGTACAGCCTTGCATGTGTAGTCATGCGTGTTACAAGCGCATCGGTAAGAATACCATTCTTTAGTCTCACACATTTATCTACATACAACGAAAGTGTCGTTAATTTGTTGAAGGCTATGCAAAAAGGCAGTTGTGTTCTCTAATAATTATCTGATTTCAAACCGCGTCGAACTATTGTGCAGCGATGTGAATGAACATAAACAAGTGTGTAAATGGATGAAGTTCTCGTTACCACAATTAATCGAAACAGAAAATTTCTTCGCCAATTAGTGCTCACAAACTGTTGTATTGAAGCACAAGACCAGCTTGTCAAGTTAAGATCAACGTATGCTAGATGCTAACGTGATAATTCTGCATTCACATTTGTGTATCTCGGGATCGAGATTACAACTAATTTGACGACTTCACTTGTCGACAGTATGACCACAAATCGGTAAAGAGAGACCATCAATGAGAGCCTTGGTGACTTGCCTTTGAGTCGTGGCTTGTCTAGGTGGCTCGAGCTGATACTGTCTAGCCGAAGACTTCTTCGAATATCTTGATGTCTTTGAGTGACTTGTCTTGGTGGTTTGTCTGTTCATATGCTTCAGACATTCCTTTTGGTGACTTGTCTTGAGACGAGAGGTTTTCGAAGACGCTTTGTGGATACATACTTTAGGATTCTTGACGAGAGTTAGAGGTTGCCTATCACGCGCCTAAGAAACCAAGTCATATCACGTGTGCGGATTTATGTTTAGGTCTTTTGGATCTTCATATATCTCTGTGTATTAAGCTCTATTCACATGACACTCAGGAAGATTCTATCACTGTTTTTCCTTAGTACATAAAATAAACTACGTTCTCCTCTGTGGAAAGAAAGAAATTCATTTTTAAGTCTCTGATGTTCATAATTGTGTATTTTTCAATGCAAGCAATTATCATAACTGGCACTAATAAAAAGAACGTACAGACTAAGAATCATTTTCGAACGCCACATGTGAGCGTTATTTCCGATATTTAGACAAGATACAAGGGTAAGATGTTTTACCATACTTCTCATAAAAGGACGGGCATCGGCTTCTTATGCAAATCCGCCACAAATATATTTTAAACTTTTCTCATAAAATGGAAGAACGTTACCATAGTAACTATACCTATCTCGAATTTTTTGTTACAAAACGTTTGATACAGTAGGAGATTCCGCGATAAATTAAATTTTTCCACCATCACTACGCATATCATAATTAATTACTTTCATAACGAAGAAGAAACATGTTTATAATAAACTATTCATTAATCGACAGAGATTATAAAGTACTTTTGCAATATGTATAAAACTTATTTATAGAAACATTTAGTACGAAAAGTTTTAAGAAATACTTTGGCATGAGTGAAAAAGCGATGTTATTGTTTGCAATGTTGCTCAATTTTTGAAATGATAGAAGAATTTCTCCACTTTCTCCAAGTCTTTTATGAAATTTCGTGTCAGCTTTTCAAAATATGTATACTTTATTGAGTGAGCTCCATATAAATTTGGCGAAAAGTGGTTGACAATGAGAACAATGCAGCAGCAAATTCACTTTCACTTTTTTGTCCTGCTGATCTCTATCAAATGGCATACGATAAAGTTAAATTTAGTACACTGTTTTTTCGTAGAAATTTTATTTTCTGATGAATACAACTCTGAATGTAATTCGAGCAGAAGGAGTACTTTATTATCTTGAATGTGATCAAACTTAGAACGAAGTGCTGAAATCTGCAATACAAGTTAAAAAAATTTCTCTACGTTGTTTCACTAGTCTCTTATCTAGTTTATGACCATTCGTGTATTGGATACCATGTATTCGGTTTACATGATTTTACACCGATAAACCAAAGAAGAGAGCAGGTATAAAGCATTAACATCTGTGAGAAATTAAACGCATTTGGTATCCACTTTACAGTGTGAATAATGTGTCGTGCTTCTTTCTGTTGCGCATGTGGACCACAAAGACGATAATGCGTATTCATCATTGGTCCCAACTGGCATTTTAGCCACAATTTCGGTTCGCAAAAAAACATCTTGACAAAATTTGGTCGACAATGTATGAGACGAGCGATATCATCTGAGTACGATACGAAATCGGTCAAACTAACAATTCGATTTGTTCGATAAGGTGTCAGTTGATCTTCGATGTATTTGACATAGGTTTGACTGTGTTGAATCATAGTTTGTCGATCAGGTAGACTTAGAGTACCTGAGCACAACAGGGCATACCAGCGGGCTTGCATTTCAGCCAGTGGTGGAATAGCACCAAAACATGGACGCACGAAACCGATGAAGAAAAGCTCGAGGCCCGTCAATGGATGAACACAATGTTTATAGAGATTATGTGAAACGCGAGCATCAGACGCTACTTTCTTTATTATATCATCGTCACGATTTTCGTCTGTTTCGAAAAATGCAAATTTATTAGCGAAGCCTGTACAACAGATAATTTCGTCGACTTGTTCCTCGGTACCGTCCTCGAACACGATCGATGTTGATTTCAGCTCTTTGATGGCCGGTTTGCGCTGGCATTTGTATTTGAGTAAGGCTTCAACAAGGCCGCCGTTCTTTGTGCCATAAGTATTTCGAAAATGACTCGTATTTATTTGTTCTAAGTTCATAAGTAAACGTTTTCGACTTATCTCGTTCTCTAATGGCTTTTTGCCCATCGACATCAGTTGCTTGATGTAGGAGACGAGTAGGCCGTAAAAGATGAGTAAATAAGATTGTAATTTACCCTGTTGATAAGGTATCGAGTAGCGAACGCGCGACGTGTCCAGATCAGCCGGACCATTTGGACCGTAGAGATATCTTGGCACTATCCAACCGTGATCTTTTCGTATTGATAAAAACGATTTCTCGCCGAATTTGGCTGACGCCAGTGCCATATCACTAGCTGCTTCACCACTCCCAACAATACACACTCGTTTTCCTGCAAAGTCTTCGAAGCGTTCGACATCTTGCATATGTTTGATTTTACCTTGATACTGAGCTTCTCCAGTGAAACGAGGCATGGATCTCAACTGATGTGTGCCCGAACACACAGCTACCTGATCAAATGTAAACACTTGTTTCTGTTGCTGACCATTCTCGTCCATCTTGCTCACCCGAAAGTTCCATTTACCCGATTTCGCATCTTTCCAAACTGATTCAACCAGCGTTTCAAAATGAATATATGGTTTCAACGAGAAATGTTCAGCATAGTCATCCAGATATTTTGAATACTCAACGAAACTCCACATGCGAGGTTTCTTCAAAATCTCATCACCCTCTTTACCAACATAATCACCAAACATTGTTATCACATTCGATGAAACCATAAAACCTTGTTGATAAACCGTTTTGAATATTCCACCCACATAAGGAGATTTTTCAAATACCGTAGCTTGATGGCCTTCAGCTATCAACTCTTTCAATGCCGATAAACCACTTGGACCACAGCCAATAATACCAATCGAGAGTTTTTTGTTCATGTCTATTTGTTAGTGGATCTGATATTGTAGGTCAACAAGAAGGCTCGTCGTCCGTTGGAAGAGACACTCAAGTGTAAAAGGAGACAGTAAAATATGTAAAACGCTTATTTTTTATTTGATCGTTCATGCATACCTAAAAATAAGGTGGTTAATTGGTGAAGGGGGCGATACGTAGGAAGAATTCAAAGCTGATCACAATGACTAAAGAGAAAAGAGAATCATATGCGCATAGTCTAGTTATGTACGAGCTTGTGCTTACAATAACTCTTTCTTATCAATAACGTTTTTCGAGTTTATGGGCAAAGTTAAGAATAGAAATTTTAAAACCAATGCGGCTATCATATTAAGAATTTTAATAAAAAGTTTTAATCAAATAATAAAAAATAAAAATTAAACAATTAAACAATTAAAACTAAAACATTGTGAAAACAATCCACACTAAACATCCATACAATGTTTTAGTTTAAATTGTTTAATTGTTTAATTTTTATTTTTTATTATTTGATTAAAACTTTTTATTAAAATTCTTAATATGATAGCCGCATTGGTTTTAAAATTTCTATTCTTTCTTATCATCAACAATCAGATGTTTCTATTTATGAATCTCACTATGTTACTTGTGGTTTTATATACATCATTCAAGCAGTTTGTAGGGCCATTATTAGTCAAAAATCTTATTGTTCAAATCTGAGCAACAAGTTTTAACCACAAAATAAAAGTTTTAAGACTTCTGCGCCCAATATGATGGTAATGTATGCGCTATCACGTTGACTGCAAAGATGCTAAAATTTGATACCTCTAGAATAGTGCCAATACTCTGGTATATTGATGATCATCTTTTTGTCTGGTATTTTTCTACATGACAACAAATACTGATTTAGAAACACTACTGGCAGTATTGGAGTACACTTCCATTCTACGAGCGATAAATTAATAACATATGTTCATCAGAAACGTGTGCGGACAGCACGCACGCAGTAATTTACGTAGATTCTGTCGTTTTCTAATGATCAGTTTCTGAGAGTGTCGGACACCTCAGTCTGTTACCCATTTTAGATTTGACTTTTGAATCAGTCATTTTATAGATCACTCAGTTAATATGAAAACCTAATAAAATGGACTCTAACGACAGTCCATTAAAAGTTTCGGAGAAAATGATACATACCACAATTCTATATACACAACGTATACATTCACTACTAGTGGAGTGCTTTACGCCCGGCCTTACTTTAATACGACAGCAGAAAAGCGTTTATGTTCATTTAAGAGCATTTGCTCTCAGAAAAGCCAATTTTTGTTAAAACATATATTTTGATATGTATATATGGCTGGATAGTCCAAAGAGTTTACCTTTAGAACCTGTATGACTTTCTATCCCCACCATTAATTTTCCTATAATACCTTTTATGCAATCAAACTATTTTCTGCAGAGCAACCTTTTCTGATAAGAATGAGACATAACACAATTCTGTATGATCTTCTATTAAAAAGTTCTAAGCCTTTTATGATAAGTGCACCAACATATGCACGGCGTTTTTCTTGAAATCATGTTTTTGAGGTATAGCTATTTCCGCACCAAAGATTTCTCTGACATTTTGAGCGATAAAACACTCGCAGCGGTCTCAGTCAAGACTGGTGCTACAACGGGATTTCGATGTTAAATCTGCCTTTTGTGGCTGAAAATGAAGTTTTCAGAAAATTAGCAAGAGCTTCTTCTGTAAAAGCTTTAAGAAAACTAAATAGACAAACAGGCAAAATCGGTCTCCTCTGAACCTTTCCTTATATTCATGGCTGTGGTGTATTTTAGCAAGAAAGTGTTGTATGTGCACACGTATGACTCTTACACTATCCACTGACTGGTAAATTTCAGCTTTCTCGCCTATGCATTCAACGTTCTTTATGTTTCGGGCACTTGTTTCAGAAGAACTTTTAATTCTTGTGCCACTGTATTTGTTTGTCGGAAGAACAGAAATTTTGCTATCTCTGGCTATTTGTACCACTGATGACATCAATCAAAAACAACTTCTTTAGCTTGTTAATAGTTATAATGCAATTTTTTTTAATTTCTAGAACAGATTAAGATTTTCATCTCTGTTAGTGGAAAATAAAATACAGATGCCTGCACATGAGCTGAAGCATTTATTCTCCATAAACTAGGTTTTGAACTGCAAGATCGAGCTTGCAGGCTTCCAGAACTGGATGAGAACATCCGAGGGCATTCCAACATATGAGAGTGAGTGGCAAACAATATCCCAAGTGATATGGTCTGATACATTCGTGTATCCAGCAGGGGTCCAACCGGTATCAAAAATCCGATACCGATAGCGGTCACCGAAATACAAACTTCGTACCGGTGACCGATTTACCGGTCGGTACCAGCTTGTCTTGATCATATTTTGCCTAAATACAAATACTTTTTCCTTGTTTTTCCTTTACTGTGAACTTTATTTTGTGTTATCAAAGGGATATAAAAGTGTGTCTGCAAGATAATCGAAAGAATTATTTAAATAAGAGTAGCACGGCTAGAGTCCTTCCAGGACAATGAAAACGAGATAAAACTTGGCTCGTTTATGGCTCATCTAATGAGTCATTGACTGCCAATTAATTTTTTGGTCATTAATGGTCATCTGTACATCATTTTTATCCCATAAATGGTACCATTAATCGGTCGTTTTCATTAATGAGTCATTTTTAGATCATTAATTGGATAGTCGATCAATACTTGTTTTCAAAGATCATAAATATATCATTATCACCTCATTTACATAAATTAGTTATTTTTATCTCATTCGAATGATATAATTACGGCCGTAAAATGATAACATCGGCTGACTCAATTTTAGGAGTCATTTTACGATCGTAATTACAACATTCGGACGACGTAAAAATGGTCAAGCATGAACAATTAATGACGTAAAAACAAGGTACTTATGGTCATTAAAAAGCAGCGCTGTTACCGTGAAATGTATTTCCTTATATCGATTTCTGCCGCAGCTTTGACACACTACATGATCTTCTCCCTTATAATATAATAGCTTCTACATAGCTTCAATGTATCTATAGTTCAGATGAAAAGAAAATATCGATCATTCTAAAAAATAAACTTTAGGAGCGGCAAAGGTTTCATAACAGAGTCCACTAATAAAATATATTCTGAAACAATAGTCTTCTAAAAAAACGACTGTAATATACAAGCATTTTCGTGCTTCCTAAAAAGTCGCTCATAGTTTTGGTATGACTTACACTATTGTTAATTCTGCGAAACCGAATTAAGGGAGGTGAATATGATCGATGGATCTAAAATCTCTCTTTAGAACTTTACTAAAATAAACAAGAAAAAACAAATAAACAATTTCTTTATTTATTAACAGAATATCTATACAGCGAAGAAAAAAACATGTATGATTATACAGTAAAGAAAAAGTAGAAATCGGAACAGTGCTCGCAATCTTTTTGATCTCAAACGGTCAATCATTCATAAAAAGCAAGTCCTTCAAAGAGAAAAACCGTGTGTCGCTTAGTTCTTGAGATTGCTATGTTGTGTTACACAACTTGTATACTCTTGTTTTATTACAGATTTCTATCAGTCATATAGTAACTGCATTCTGAAAAGAAAGGTATCCTATAATACTAAAAAAGGGTATCGGCATTTGTTACCGATTTCCGTATCTTAGAATACCTTTTTTGGTTTTCTAGGTTATGTTTGTGGGTATTCCTGATCCCACAGAACCCAAAAACACCATTTTCTTTTTAAATCTCTGAATTGTAAATGTGAACTAATAAATTTCTTTCCCCCTTGTAAACCCCGTATTTTGCCGAAAATGGAATTCAAATGCAACTTTCATGCTTTGATATTTTGACAACATTAAGGGAACAACGACAAAGTGTTGTTAAAGCTGAAGGTACACGAATAAATCCAGCATTTCTGAAACTAACCACCGGGTGTTCCAGAGAAGATGAACCTCTGAGTATTTCGATAATAATATTTTTTCCTTTGAAGATACAAAGTGATTTCTTCTTTTAAAGGTTCGCCGTTTTATTCTCTACAAAAAACAATTTTACATACACTGTAATCTTGAATTTCCACTTTATAGAAAATCGCCGAGGATTTTCTGGTTTATAGATATTCCTCGACGAATTTTCAGCTTTCTAGAAAATGTTGATTTTCCATAAATTCGATTTTCTATAATGGTGGAGAATCGCTGATGATTTCCTTTAAATTAGAAAATCGCCGGCGATTTTCTAGTTTATAGAAAATCAATCGAATTTCTATGAATAATTTCCAAGTATTCGGAAATTCGAGTTTGATTTTCTATAAACAAGAAAATCCGCGGTGATTTTCTAGAGAGTGGAAATTCGCCCAGGAATTTCTAGACCAAATACTTATTCATATTTTTGTGTTGTAAGCACTGTAAGTATAAGAGCGTAAAGACACTCATATTACATTTAAATCAACTCTGACAGTTTCAACTTTAGATCACAATTCTACCTATGCTAGCAAGAATTTTGATTTAGACAGGATTTAGGATTTTCTAGATTGTTGGAAATTCGATTTTCTATAGACTGGAAAATCCTCACAGAATTCCCATATGTACTCTTTGAAAATCGCCAAACATTTTCTATAAATAATTTCCAACCCTACAGTTTACGCTAAAAATAAGGAATATCGATGAAATACTGTGAAATTTCAGTCTTTACTAGTTTCGAAATCAAGGTACAACGAAAACAAATTATTCTGAACACGTTGCCATGCATGAAAGTGGAATCAAAATATATGCTGTTGTGCTTCGAAGCGTCTTTCTTTTCGTGTGTCATAGATTAGTTTGAAATGTTTTTTTCTGACACCAAAAGCTATTTTATTAAAATTCATCGAAAAAGAGAAAATTTGACTTCTTCGCGCTACTACAGAAAAAGAAATGAAACTATTAGACTTTCTCTTTTAGGAATTACTAGAGGAACTATTTTGATTTAGAATAAAGTAAATCCAAGTTCAAAATATT